ATATATATATATATATATATATATATATATATATATATATATATATATATATATATATATATATATATATATATATATATATATATATATATATATAGCCGCTGAAATGTTTTTTGTGATTGGAATTCTGAAAAGATTTAGTGATTTAATTATAAAAGATGTCAAACCTTGTGATTTATGATTTAGGTCTTGTGATTTAGTTATAAAAGATATCATACCAATGTCTGTGATAAGCAGTATTCAATAATATTCTTGGAAATTTCGAAATATTCTGCTTCCACACCTTCCCCAATTGTGACTAAATTATAAGATTACAACATTTGCCTTGCTGGTGCTTCAAATACTTTTTAAACTTGCTGCTAACATTAAAAGAAAAAAAACTCCCATTTTCTTTTTTTTTCTCTGAAGGTCTAGAAAATTCTGGAATTTATAATTTTTTGAATTTTAAAAGGGAATAAAATTTCAGTTTTCTGAATGCTTCTATAGTGGTGGTTTTTGGAAGTTGTTGAATAATCAGATCTGATTCCCTACTCCAGCAATTAAATATTTTGATGCTTTCAAATAACCGTTTTTTCATTTGCCACATTATTACAAATTACACAGGCGCAAATAGCCAAAATGTTTGTTGAGTGTTTATTAAGCCGTTTTTTCTCTTGGGTTATGTAGTAAAGCCTCAAATCCAAATAGGAAATAGTGAGTGCCGAGAAACAGTTTCTCGAAGGACTTATCAGTCCCTTTGTTTCATTCTCTCATTGACTAATATTTAATCAATTTTGCATAACTCATCTTTCCAGTATCCGCCCACACTTATCACAATAAAGCTCTTTATCTGCCTGCCTTCGAGGGGTACCGATGACGGCAACCTTGCGACCTTGGCGACAGATATTTCAAGTTTCGTTTCTCCAAACATTTAAATTGAAGGAAAGACAGAATGAAGAAAGAGAGAAGGTTTTGGTCATGGGTGATGAGCACGAAATCTAGCAAGATGGACATTGCAAATGGGCGGTGTCGCATTGACTGGAAAATATTCATTCGTCGACCACCACTACATCAAGCACCCCCCCCCCCCCACCCCTCCCCCTTTAGCGATTCATCGAGGTGTTAGTGACGGCTGCGCTATTTGTCGCTTCTTCGGATACTCTTCCTTCTCCACATATCACTAAATATTACTCATTATTCTTTTTGCTAGTTAATTTTCGGCCATAGAAACATGAAAGCGTACTTTTAGTTAATTTTCAAGCTCAAATTTGAAACATTCATAAAATCTGTTTAAAGTCGCTAGGATGATGATTGCGCAGAAGTTGGCACAACTGAAGGAGAGCACCAGCCGTTGGCGTTCTCAACAATCATGCGAAGTACTGGTACCAGAAACACATGGGATACTGAGTCAACGAAAAAGTGCCTTACTGGAAAAACAAGATGTTAGTCATCTCTGTACACTTAGTGTAAAAACTCAACTCGGAAATTCACATTAAATTGGTCAATTACAAAGATTATCACTTTTAAAGTTTCTCTCTATCTTTCATACTCTAAGCTGTTTCACAATGTCAACTCCTTTATCATTGAAAAAGGAAAATTTTATTTTATCCGACAAAACTTGCAAATCTTTAGCAAGGAAATATTGTATTTTGTTTTATGAAACCTAAAATTATCAATTTGCGACGGAAAAGTGATTTCTTCATTTTGAAGTGAATTTTGTCGTTAGAATTTTTGAATTATTTTAATTGCCTCCTTTGACCTGCTAGTAATTACTCATCATATGAATGAATATTAATTTGTTGAAGTGCTTTTTATGATTACTTTTAGATGACGATGCATATGTGCCTTTTTTTCTCATTCTTTTGATATAGAATATCAGATAAGAACCCGAAACTGGGACATACAGTTCGTTTAGTTCATTTTCGATCCATATAAGGAACGAAACGTTATAATCAAGCATATTTTGAAGGAAAAAGGCATATAATCTCTTCTAAAGTTTAATCCTACTAAATGTCTTTTTTCAAGGTCTTTTGAAATTTATGCTAACTCCCAAACAAAATGATAGAAGCGTTTTTTGTTTTTAAATAATCAAAAATGGGTTTCGTTTTTGTGTTGATTTCGAATTTGCAAAAGCCACACAGTGGTCCATTTTTTGAAATTTGTTTTTAATATTGTCAAGGCTGTCGTCATTTCCATTAATTATTCCACCTCAATTAGTTATTCCGCTCACATCTTTTCTTCCCATTTATAATAATGGAACAAACCGAACCTATTGAAGTTTCGGAAACATCATTTCACTTCTTTGCTTTCTCTACGCAGAAAAAAGTATCTCAAACTTTGTGTTCAATTGTTCGACTGGTAAAATTCCAGGAAGCACCTACTTCATTCAACTCTCTTCTGCTTTTTATTTATCTATCTGCCGAGAGTTTCCTTTTTTAATCTGATCGTTTACATATTTGTTTATCTTGTTTTCAATCTTGAATAATAATAATAATATTTAGTCAGTGGACTGTTTATTTAAGGATAAGCAGTTCTCTTTCTTACCCGTCCTTCCCCATTATTCTGTTATCAAATCAGGACGAGTTTATTTATATTCATCTGTGGTCAAATGTAATTAGCAAAGCAATGCTAAATTATTTTCTCAATGAGTCAACAACAATAGCACACAGCTTTATTCAGTTTTTAGTTAAACTGTGCTGAAATGCATCCACTTAACATATACTAAGAATTGTTGCAAAACATGAAGGGAAGATATAGACGGATGCGAGGAAGTCCAGGAAATTCCTAATAGCATTAATTGGTGTCGTTTTGAATATTAGTGTCACTAAATGGTCAAATGGTCAAGCATATATTTGACAGTTTTCAGAAACTTTGGGAGGTAAATGAAAGGAGGTAATAGTGGTATTGTCGTACAAGAGTTTCAGATAATTCTATGATCATAGCCGTTTAACTGCTGCTCTCTTTTACTTGCATTAAAATTCCTATACCATATTTTGTGGATGATTTTACGGACTATATTTTTTCCAGTGATCAGGAATCTTCAAATACTTCTTCAAGTTAAGAGACAGATGTCAGTGTTATCCAGAAAGACCTTTGATGAGGCACAACCTTTGTCGAAAATGGTAGCACAATTAAGCGTACAAAGTCGAGATTAAAGAATCAGTGGAATATTAACTTCCAGTTTATTAAATACAAAGAAGAAATTTATAACCCGAGTTTCGATTAACCCATGTAAAAAACATTTCACTCCATTAGATTAATTTGGAGGTGATTTGGAGACAGCATTATTACAGCTAGGATAGCTAGGATACATGGATATGGATGAGCGCAACGAACCATTTAAGTCGATCAATAAGCAGTTAATCTATTTGTTGTTAATCGAATCGTTGCAACATCATTTCTTCTTCGACAGTTTTCTGTTTAAACAACCAAGCCAGAAAATTGTATGCCAATTGAAAAACAGTACTTTCAGGTAGCTATCCTCCACCCTTCAGGACTCTGTTGTTCTTTTACTAAAACATCAACACAGAAGCAACAGGTGAATTTAATTAATGAACAATTAGCAATAACTGAAGTTGCTGGAAATTCAAATACTTCATTTTATTCCCATAATAAATTCCGGAATTGAAAACTCTGATAAGCTTTGGGAAGGATCTCTTATAAACTAATTTTGTTTTTTGGTTCATCTAATGAATCATTTTATATATCACGATTTCGTTCTTTTTTCTTCTCCGTAAAGATCGATGTGAATGGTCTTATCGAGCCGTCATTTAATTGAATTAAAGTAATTAGAAGTCAATTAAATTAGAAGTCAATGATACCGAATTGCTTTTCCCGTCTATTTTCGATCCAAAAATACAACATTTGTTGATAAAAATTTCAATGAAATGGAAAAAAGGTCTTAAATCTGAGTTAGTTGAAAACATAGTTCTCCTTCTCTCATTGAATCAGTTCTGATGGAGAAGTTATTGAATGAATCCGGAGAAGCAGCATCAATCATTAATTTTTCCTATCAATTCAAATAAATGCTTGATTTTTGTTGAGATTTTCATTGGAAGAAACTAAACTATAAACCATACTGGAGTCTATCTTTTTTGCTCTCACATCACCCAGAACGGTAAGAGGTCAATAAATAAATATTGTGGAATGAGATTATTGAAGAGGTGAAAATAATTTCCTTAATGTTTTGCCTATTTCTGAAATTGGAAGTATAGTTTGCAAGATATGCACTGGGTGAATTCAAAATATATCTGCTTACCATGCAGAATTTGTTAGCTATCAAAAATTTAGAACATCGCTCTGTCCATCTTGCTAAGTTTTGACGAATTCATTGTTTGCAGTTGATTAAATACACACTACCCGTCTTGTCCTTCAACTGATAGCGTATTTGAGTAGACCGCATATCAGTGGGCTTTGAAATGTCGCGTTAGGGAACTTCATTGACGTTTCGACGAAATTACTGATAGTTTTAATATTCATCTTTGTGACAACAAAGTTATAACTTTTCACTTACAACATCGTTTTTCAACGTTTAAATAAAATTTTTGTAGTTTCTGTCGTAATTTGCATATTTATTATTTGTTAAGGATAATATGAGAATGCATTTATTTTAGTAGGCAATTTTGCTTAACGTAGTCTCGACAGTCAGTGTTCTTTGCGACGAAATCATCATGGAAGCAATCAGTTTTTTCGTTAATTACATCTGAATGCTAACCACAATCAATTAAAGATTTAATTAGGAAATAACATAACGAGCAAAGATTCCTCCTACTGTGCTTCGATGGATGATTTGTAACTGTGTACTCTGTAACACGCAAATTCTGCAGAGATTGTGAAATTGGCTTTTTTCGATGCTTACATTGCAGTCTATATCTAATAATATATTTGAAATATCTGCCTGCCTGAAATACGGACAATATTGGAACAGTGGTGCAATGGTAACAGTTAACAGAATTATAAAATTTATCAAATAACATCATTTTGAAACGATTCATTTTAACTCATTTGGAAAAAATAAAACAATTCAATGTTAAAGTTTCACTCGTTCTTGTCTGTTTCAGACTAGACTACCTCATTTGATCATAGCAATCTGATAGGCATATTGATAGCTCTCACGGAGAAAGTGATAGTAAGGCATAATTTGTTGCGTATTATCCATTCATCATTGCTATCTACGCAACTTAATAAGTTGTTCAAATCGTTGCATAGGAACCTAACGAACTTTTTTTTTAATATTAAAAAACTTCCTATGACTGCTTTACTTCATTTTTTGTTCATAATGCGTTGGTTTTTAAAATTATTACATGTTTAAATACATGTTTTCGTTTTATTTTCAAATAGAAATACTTTTTCTTTCAGGATCTTTAGTATTAGAAAAATTAAATAGCACTTTCAAATTCCGTTACTGATTTTTTTGAGAAATTTTTGGAAATCTGAATATGGGATTAAATTTTTCAGTTTGTGGATGGTGATGTTATACCGTTTGATAGTGCTGAATTTCCGAAAAAGGGAGATAAAAGGGTGGTTGAGCTACAAAAGCATGTATTAAAAGAATTGAGTCTTCATCGCGAGGAAACCTTCCCTTTTTGTGGCTACCTTTTTTTGAATAAATTAAATTAAAGAAATATCCTAGAAGAATTTGCCGGAAAGTTCAATTTTCAAAGTCTTCAAACTCTTAAAGAATTTTAAACGCTCATTAAAACAATAGTTTGTGACCGATAGTTTGAGAACTAAAATATGGTCAGCGAGGGAGATGGCACGATGAGGAGAGAACAGGCGGAAGCTGTTCTTATCAGTGTTTGATAAACTAATACATTAGGAGTTTTGATTGAAGTTAATTTTGAAATTAATAGAATTTATTATTTTTGAATATTATGGTCCTTCTCACAAATAAAAAAGCCAAAGCGGTCCCTAGTCAAGAAAAGGTTGAAAACCACTGATTTAAATCAAAATATATTTTTTTAGTCAGTTGAACGATGGCGTGAACGTATTAAGAGCGATTCAGATTTGCAATGCCTCGATGGAATGAGATGTTTACAGAAAGATTTTCCAACCAAGCAGATACTTCCAAAAACTAGAACAGTGGATATTGGTAAAGGCTTGGATCATTTTTACTCCCGTTCTCCCATCGTTTCAGCACCATCTAAATTATTACAGATTGATTTGAATGAATTTGAGGATATTACCACTACCACCCCAAGGTATTACATTTGAATATACTTCCTATAATATTTCAAATAATTATGTTGATTGTGGATGAAATCTGAATATTTTATTTAAAGTAAATTATCAAAAAGGATTAAAACAGAATAATCAAGTAAGACAGTGTTGAAGTAATAGCCAGCTTTTTTTCTAACTGTTCATGAGTATTTTTATCATTCACTGATCATTCCCGTCCTGCTGTCACTTTATTGGTTGCCTCAGCATAGTACACTACTTCCTATATATCATTAATTAAATTTCTCCGTAATTTGATCAGCCAGAAAATATTTTCCCTTTCTTTCATTTTCATCCTTCCAACTTATAAGTGTATTATGAAACGGATCATAGTAGTGCCATCAGATATAGCTTTTGTAGACATAAAATGTGACTAATATATATGTCACTTCCATACGCAGTGCACAAATCTGATATGGTTGATAGCAATGGTTAAAATCTAATAGTGACCCTATATATGACACATTGCACCTGGCGACTTCAACATTATAAACTTCAATCAAAATTATAAAATGTCATAATTATGGATCACTGGCATATATGATACCGTGGAGAGGTAGGTACTACATACATACACACATACA